TAGCCTACTCTGTGTCAACACATTGAGTAGGGCCAGGGAAGAGGATTTTCTCCTGAAGACCAGTGAAATGAGAGGTGGTATGTCATGGTGTTTAGAAGAATAGCATTTAGAGCCGGACTACCTCAATTCAAACCCTGACTCTGTCACTTACTAGCTGTGTGAGCTTCAGCAAGACTCTTAACTTCTCTGTGCCTCACATATATAATAAAAATGGTATCTTCCTGATAGTATTGCTGTGAAAATTAAAATAATATAGGTAATGCAGTTACAAGTGTATCTGGTAATTAATTCTTCTAAGTGTTAGGTATAAAAATAATAATAGTAATACTATGTAGTATTATAATTTTAACAACCAACTCTAATCTTAGGAGGTAGGTTACCTCATTCGATGCTGAAGATGAAATTTTGGATCCTGAAACAAGGGAAAATATCTTTCCTAGAACATTATGGGCTGGGTTGAAATTTGCGTGACTACAACTTTCAGTCACTGATCTGACACCTGCCCTAAGCAACCACATGATAAATGTGCCCCACTTTCACCTGCCAGCTCTTGTTGGCATATCTTCCTTTCACCTCCCAGCCCTTGTTTTACCATATCTTCCTTCATCTTCTCTCCTACAGATACCATAATGGTCCCCCTCCTCAGGGGAATCTCAATTGCTCAACACCCCTCTTAAAATTTAGTAGCCAGAACACAGCGTTTGAAGCTTGCCATGTCCTTGGTGCTCCACAAATTTGTATGACATGAATGAATGAATGAATGAAGAAAGAAAGGAAGGAATTCACAGACACATGATATACTAGAAATATTCTCCCCCATTCTCTATGCATTGTACTTTTATTAATACAGCCTGAGCTTATATTAGCTCCCCCCAAAAGGCATTTCCTATTGGCTTGGGGGTTAGAGGTGCCCCCTAAGGAGCAAGGCTATAGAACCCATTTACTTATGCCCACTATCCTTTGTGGCTCTAACAAAGAATTAGGTAGCATACCAGAGAAGGTGAAACGAGAAAACAAGTACTCTAGTCAAGCAGAAAAAGAAGGTTTTAGTGACAGGCTCAAAGGGTCCTGTTTTCCTTGATAACTCTGGAGTGTGGGTTATTAAGAGTAATTTTGTTAGTGCTATCCAACAAATATTTCTAATTCTCTCCCAGGTACACACTTCCCTGCTGCCCTTGATGTCAGAAGTGGTCCCATGACTCCCTTTAGCCAATGAAATGTGAATAGAAGAGCCAGTACACAATTCAGTAAGTTCCCTTTTTCTTGCCTTTGGCAATTGTGAAAGCACAGAAATGAAGTATCCCTCAGTAAAGATGCCCTCACATGACCTATGATAGACATGAAGCCCAAGTGAGAAATAAACCTTTATAACTTTAAATTACTGAGATCTATTTTTTGTTGGTGTCACAGCAGACTCTAGCTTATCCCAACTGATTCTATATTGCTCACAGGCGAACAAAACACCTAGCACCATGTCCTCTGGCTCCATTAGATCACAGCTTTCATATTCGTTTTCTTCTCCACACCTCTAATCTGTAAAATGAGAAAGCATCTTTTGGTGGGTTTGCACCAGTTATTCCAAGCAGCTCAGGTGAGTCCTACTTGGCAACAGTGGGGGAGATGTACCTGTTGGCACCAACAGTGCCCCAAGATGAGTCACCATGGAGATGGGCTTTAAAAACAATGTTTTTTTCTTCTCACAGAACGAACTCAAGATTATTCCACTAAAACCTAACTAAGATGGTCACTGCAGCCCAGAGAATGACAGATATCTAGACGATACTTATGGGTGAAGAGAAGAACTTCGGAATAATTTGGGAGGAACGGGAACATTCGGATTTTCTAAAATCAGTAGTTCTCAAACTTTTATCTGCATCAGAATCACCTGGAAGGCTTGTTAAAACACAAATTACTGGCTCGGCGCCTATAGCTCAACCGGCTAAGGCGCCAGCCATGTACACCTAAGGTGGCGGGTTCAAATCCCCAGCCTGGACCCGCCAAACAACAATAATGGCTGCAACCAAAAAATAGCTGGGCGTTGTGGCGGGCGCCTGTGGTCCCAGCTACTTGGGAGGCGGAGGCAGGAGACTCGCTTGAGCCCAGGAGTTGGAGATTGCTGTGAGCTGTGATGCCATGGCACTCTACCCAGGGGGACAGCTTGAGGCTCTGTCTCAAAAAAAAAAAAAAAAAAAAACACAAATTACTGAGCCCCATCCCCACAGTCTCTGATTCTGTACATGTTTTGAGAACTACTGCTCCAGAAGTTCTATCAGCTCTAGGAAACGGGGGTGAAAGCAAAAAATCATCAGTGTGGTTACAATGCTCCAGGGTTTGGCCTTCACAGTTGCTTTCTGGAGAAGGAAAAGAAAAGAGCCAGTTTTCCTTTTCCTGCCAAAGACATTAGTCTGAGAGTTGACGTCGCCACCTCGCCTTTTTTCCTCACCACATAACACAGTAGACAACAAAATTAAGCTCCTCAAAGGGAACAAAATAGGAATCTCATTCATTTGCATACTTCAAATAAAATGGTTTTTGTGAGAGAAATCATGCCTCACTCATCCCCCAGAGCTTCCCTAGGAGGTAAATCTGGGTGTATTGCAAGAGGAAGCAATTTAGGTAATTGGCTGCGGCCTCCCTCTCCAAACTTCTCTCCACACCCACTTTGACAAACCTCCACTACAATTCAGACTTCCTACTCTCTGACACCCCCGGGCCTGGTCCTGCTCCCCTCAGCTGTAAACGACCCCCCTCCATGTGCATCTGCACACATTTATCTCTCTTTATCTAAATCCTCCCTCTTCCTCCAGTTTAGGGCTGAACCTCAAGAAAGCCTTCCTTCTCCCTCACCCCCACTACAGTTAATCAATCACCAAGTCCTGTCAATTTTACCTCCCAAGGATCTCCAGAACCCATTCAGTTCTCTTCATTCTCAACTCTAACTCAACCAGTATAGATCCCCCTGGCCTACCCTCTAGGTCTTTGCCCAGGGTATTCACCTCAACTGGACAGATCCCTGTTTAAATTACAACCCTTCCCCAGAGGAGGAAGCCTTCCATGATCCCTAAGCCAAGCTGGAGTCCTCTTCATCAACTCCCATAGAACCCTGTTTCCTCTATCATGAACATTTCTCCTTTGCAATCTCTTATTTCATTAACTGTCTTCCTAATGCCTCCTAATGCCATGACCATTTACTACAACTCCTCATGTTGTAGTGACCCCCAACCATAAAATTATTTTTGTTGCTACTTCATAACTGTAATTTTGCTACTATTATGAATCGTAATGTAAATATCTGATATGCAGGATGTATTTTCATGGTTACAAAGGGGTCACGACCCACAGGTTGAGAACCACTGATCTAGGGGATGAGAAGGAAGGTACAGATGGAATAAAATTACCATGTTTTAGAAATTGCTGAAGATAGGCAATAAGTACCTTGAATTTATTACTATATCCTTCTACTCTTGTGTATGTTTAAACTTTCCATAATGAAAAGTTTAAAGGTGTAAGTACCGAGGAAGGGAAATGCTATAAGAATATATTACAAATACCAGTATTTTAAGATCATTTTTGGTTTAAGTAACTAAACAGAGAAAAAACGATTTGAAGAAGAAAAAAATACTTAAAGCTAACATCCTTTATCAGCTTCCCCTCAAAATATTTTCTTCAAACAAAATTGTCACAGATGAGCAGGAGGGGACAGAGCCACTTATGCACAATTCTTACCCTCATCTCTGGGAAAAGAACAAATTGTGCTTGGGCTGAATGTGTATTTTTAAGTAAACAATCCCTCTGCAGAACTTGCCTCTGGGTACCCAAGAGGTCCTGCTGAAACAGAGCTGAGAAGCAGGAAAGTCCTAAGTCAGGAAAGGAGGACAGAAAGAAATTACAATGGGTATTACCAGCTCTCCTCTCTTCTAAGCCCTGGCTTTGGATTCTTATCTGAGGCTTCCCTGGGAGGCGGGTTCAGCTCAGTCTGAAGCTATATGTGTATAACACACACTCAATCTGACAATTAAGTTCGTGAACTCATCCTAGAAAGCACTACAGACCTCACTGAATATCACTAAGGTCACCTTTGAAGTACTCCCTTTGAGAAGCTATGCACTGATGCCAACACCTAGTCCGCCCTTCAAAGCAGTTTTGGAACTCTTCTTCTGGAATGACCATCAGCGCTGTTGTCTTATGGAGATCTGACAATAAAGTTTATAAACTGTATGCTTACACTGGCAGCACTACACAAGTAACTCAGTACAGTTTCAAAACTTTGGTATATCAATATCTCACAGCTGTGTTTGTGTCCATGTGTGCTGGTGTCTTGATGAGTGGCATTCATTACTGTTGTTTTGTGTTTTTTTTTGTGCTGTACGAAGACAGCTCTGATGGTCATGCCAGAAAGAGTTCCAAAATTCCTTTGAAGGGTGGACTAGGTGCTGGTGTCAGTGCCTGGTTTCCCAAGGTGACTACTTCAAAAGTGACCAGAGTGATATTCGGCAATGAGATATGCAGTACTTTTTCTAAAATGAGTTTGCAAACTTAATTGTCAGACCTTGTCGGGTTCTGTTGTTATTTTAAGTGATGGATGCCTGTTAGCCTTGAGCTCGTGGGCTCAATCCACCCTTCCACTTTAATCTCCCAAGTAGCTGGAACTACAGGCACACACCACCATCCTCAGCTTTTCTGAGGCTACATTTCACCAAGATGAGAGGGTCCTCTCAGAGCACAGCTAGTGTGTTTGGAGGTTACATCAGGGGAAAGGATTCATTCAGGGAACAGGGAACTTTTAAGAGGCTCTGACAATACCCATCACAGTACATTTCCACATCATCTCTTTTCTTCTATATGCTCCCTCTGTGAGGAATCTGGAGACCAAAAAAATAAAATCAACCAACCCATTCCAAGCCCCTCTGGGAGAAAATACCCATGCAGTTTTGATTTGAGCAAGTGCCTTTAAGCTCCCAAACTCTGACCAGATAAGGGGACTATATAAACATACTTACTCTTCTTGAAGAATGAATTCACTATTCTCTGGAGAAAACTGCCCCGTCACAGGATGCCTGAATGCTGTGGTCTGCTGGTTATGGCTAAAGAAAAAGAGAAATGATGAATGAGAAATCATGTAAATACAAAGAGTACAGACAACGGCCCAGCAATGTTGGGGACCCTGGTCACCAGCAGTTCCTTACAAGGTGAGAAAAGTGGGCCTTTCCTCTGAGACACACTTAATCTGTCAGAACCCTGCTACACTCAAAAGCCAACAATTTTCCACTCAGGTGCCAAAGCCCACCTAAAGCAACAGGGATTTTCATCCTAAGAAAATCTTGGCTCCAAGATGAAACTGCATCTTGGAGAGACATTCCATGAAGTATTTACTCCAATAAACTGAGATGTTAGACAAAGTTACTTTAAGACAGCACGAGCTAAAACAAGAACGAAGGAAAGCAGACAACACTTTCAACAGCTTCTAAAAACCATGAATTAGGGAAAGAATTCTAAGAATTAACCACCCACCCAGAAAATTTCCTTCTTAAAATTCTTCACCCTACTACAAAATGTCTTCACTTCAGTGGTGGGATATAAATGCATGAGCATGTCTCTGTAACACAACCTGCACAATTTCAACACTGTGAAGTTTCTACGGCCCTTTGAAGTTAGGAGAATCTGCTTCCACACCAAGCTGACAGACATAACCAAAGCATGTGGGTGTTTTGTGCCTCAACAAAAGTTGCCTGGTTCTTTGAAAAGGAGGAGTTGGCTCTAAGACTGCTGGTTTTCTCCATGAATAAACTAAATTGACCTTTTTAAAAGAATACGATTTATTTAAAATTTCTTCAAAATCATAGTTATTTTACACATTTTAGAAAACATAGAAAGAGAAAGTCACCCATGATCTCACCATGTGGAGATACTTGGGCATTTTCTCCTTCCAAATTTTTTTTTCTATTTAAAAAAAAAATGTGATTTTTTTTCCTGAAGATAAAAATCTACATCTTCCTATAGTTCCAGCTACTCAGGAGGCTGAAGCAGGAGGGTTGCTTGAACCAGGAGTTTGAGGTTGCCATGAGCAAGGCTCATGCCACAGCACTCTAACCCAGGCAACAGAGTAAGACTCTTGTCTTAGGCTCGGTGCCCATAGCACAGTGGTTATGGCGCCAGCCACATGCACAGAGGCTGGCTGGTCTGAACCTGGCCCAGGCCAGCTAAACAACAATGACAACTGCAACAAAAAAATAGCTGGGCGTTGTGGCGGGTGCCTGTAGTCCCAGCTACTTGGGAGGCTGAGGCAAGAGAATCACTTAAGCCCAAGGGAGTTAGAGGTTGTTGTGAGCTGTGATGCTATATTAACATAGTAAGTGTCCCATGTCATTAAGAATTCTTCATTTGGGCTCGGCGCCTGTGGCTCAAGCGGCTTAGGCGCCAGCCACATACACCTGAGCTGGTGAGTTTGAATCCAGCCCGGGCCCACCAAAACAACAATGATGGCTGCAACCACAAAATAGCCAGGCATTGTGGCAGGCACCTGTAGTCCCAGCTACTTGGGAGGTGGAGGCAGAAGAATCACTTGAGCCCAGGAGTTGTAGGTTGCTGTGAGCTGTGATGTCACAGCACTCTACCCAGGGCGACAGCTTGAGGCTCTCTCTCAAAAAAAAAAAAAAAGAAGAAGAAGTCTTCATTTGAAATGGGTGAATCACACAGGTGTAAGTTTTTTTTTTTTCTCATACAATCATTCAAAAAATATCTACTGGGCACCTATGTGGTAGGTACTGCTTTAGGTAGTAGAGATACAAAGTGAATTAAAAAGCCCTTACCCCCTGGTACATATATTCCAGACAGGTTTACATTTCTCTAATGCAGGCAACCCTCCCACTACCATAATCAATGTATCTTCAAGTATAGACTTTTTCTGAAATTCACATTATTTCCTTGGGTTAAAGTCTCAAAGGCAAAATTACTGAATCAAAGTAGACAGTCATTTTTTAAGGTTCTTAATACAAACAGTTAAAATGCTTTCACTGTCCAAGACAATAGTCATCTTGGTTTGGTAATATTAAGATACCAGTCTCATCTCCAAACTGAGCCTCTCTGGAAATTAGTATGCCTAAATCAGCATAGCACAAAGGTTAAAAAACAAAAACTCTCTAAGCCAGCAAAGTTTTTCTCTGCTCCAAGCCCTGGTTAGGGCTTCCTGTGACCTGGTGTCCGGACTACGCTGGGCACTGAGAGTTAGGAAAGCCTCAATCCTAAAAAGTCAAAGGTAAAGCGGACAGAACCATCAGTCTGGGCTGGTCCCTGACCCTGCAACTGTGCACCACCCCACCACACCCTCACCCTGCCCAATCAGAGCCAGCCTCTGAATTCCCAGTTCCTAGTCCCAGGCAAGTGTGTGGATTCCTATGACTTCATCAGGCAGGCAGCATCAGCCTGGTCTTCCCAAAAAAGCAAAGTTAAAGCACAAGCATCTAAGATAAGAATGAGAAGCAGAAGCAGCCCTTCTTAACACCTGTTTTAGAAATCCTTGTACCATGTTCAAGGGTTAGGCTTTATTTACAAGCCAGTTCCTTCCAGAGAATCATCTCTACTCACTAGGGAATTTGAAAACGCAAGTCCTAATATAAGCATTCCTCATTTCCACCTAGAGGAAAAAGAATGCCCTGCACATAACGGAAATTAGAAAAAAGCAATAGGCTCGACGCCCATAGCTCAGCGAGTAGGGCGCAGGCCACATACACAAAAGGTGGTGGGTTTGAGCTCAGCCTGGGCCTGCTAAACAACAATGACAACTGCAACAAAAAAATAGCTGGGCATTGTGGTGGGTGCCTGTAGGCCCAGCTACTTGGGAGGCTGAGGCAAGAGAATTGCTTAAAGCCCAAGAGTTTGAGGTTGCTGTGAGCTGTGTCGCTGTGGTTCTACTCAGGGCAACATAGGTGAGACTCTGTCTCCAAAAAAAAAAAAGCAATAGTACCACTCTCCACTATTGCCTCTGAAGGGTTTTCCAGTCCTCAAAGCATTTTCTTACACATCTGGGCTACTTATATCATCAACCCCCCATTTTATGAATGAGGAAACTGGGCTTGGAGAGGTTAAGTGCCTTGCACAAGATAACTTCATCAATAAGTCAAAAGGCTGGGCCTGACTTTATTTCCCTTTCTAAATTCTATGTTCTTTGTGATGATAACCAGCTATCTGCTTCCTTTGGGAGTCTGTGGGCTGGCAGCCTCCTATTTATGATGAGAAACCCCTAAAGACAAAGTATAGGGGAAAACAGCACCATCTATCATATCATGATTCTCCCTATCTCTGTCCTTCACCTTGTGCCCAGTGCCAAAATTCTGAATGACAACACTTGTGTGACACTCAGTATCCCCAAACATCCTTTGGTACTACCACAAGGTCAGTCAGTAGATCTCTGGCAGATAAAGGCAAAGAGGGAATCTCTTATGTGCTCATACACACTGCACAACCTTGACAGTGACTCCAAGGCTCCCCACCCACAACTTATACCAGCTTAAATAAACCCAGAGTCTTGAGTAAATGAATCTTGAGCTGGAAAGTGTAGGCACTAAGATGAATTTTGCTCTCTAACATTAGAAGGAAGTAATATTTTAATTCAACAAAAAATAGTTGCCATTTGCTGAGCTTCCCAAACATTCTTCTCTAATACGTATGCTGCTTTCTGTGCCAAAAAAGTTTTCAGTCACAACACAGTCACGATGGTCATCTCCTGAATCTACATGAAGCTTTAAGAAAGCTCACATTCACATCTGATTCCTCCCAGCTACCCACTGAGACAGGCAGGGCAGATACTTTTATCCTCATGTTACCCATAAGGAAACAGAGGTTCCAGGCTATGAGATGTTATTAGAACACTAAATTAAAGGAAAAAATACATTAAAAAAAAGAGGTGAACCAGAGTAATGCCTCTTGTATACTGAGGTCTTAAAATTTAATCATCTTTGATCAAACGCACACCGCTTGCTAATGGCAGGACTTCGGCAGAGCAAAGGGACATGAGCTAGGACCCTGGGCTATACCATTCAATCTTCCCAAATACCCAATAGAGTAAGTTATGTGTCATCATACCAGACCATAAATGAGGAAGTGTGAGACCCAAAAGAGAAGACTATTTACCTGCAACCACCATCGGCTCCTGTTTTCCCTGCACACCACTACCCTTTTGATCTCCTCCCACTAGCCAGGCTCACCCTCACCAAGCAAAGGATGGCTATTAAACACACTTGGAATTGCAAAGTCCTCTGGCTTTACTTGCTGTCCCCAACCCCTCAGCCCAATACCCCTCTGCTCTATTTCCTAATTCTAAAACCCATGAAGAGGTTCATGTCCTACCACTGTGTCTCAAGAAGCATTTAGCAGGCACAGACACATCCCCTGAAATACTTGTTCTTAAACCTGAATTGCCACCTTGTTCCCTGGTAGTACAGAGATGGCCCGGCTGGGAGCCAAGTGGTTGGTTTCAAGGGAGCACAAAAACTCTCTTTCATGGGAGGCCTTCTGCTTCTCTTCAGGCTACTAACAAAGTAATTTGGCAAATTAGATAAACACCCTGTAGCCTTCATTTTAAAATCCCACTCTTCTTCACAGACATAACCCCTGAAAGGAGCCAATCTTGCCTAGGAGAGGATCAGGGAGCACAGATGGAAGATGGTAGGGAATGACAAGCCCTATGGAGGCGGGCCATAGGTAACCATCCACATAAATAAACATGTCCTCACAAGCCCCAGGCCCGCAAGGACTTAGGTTAGGTCCTAAGGAAGTCTGATAGCAAACACAAGAAACTTGATAGGAGAATGAAGTGAGGACCAGGAAGAAATATAAGAGCCTACCTATGAGCACAGATAAGGCTAGGGTCTTCCAGTTTCTTGCAATGTTTTTTTGCAAAATTTTCTGTTCATGTGGATTTTGACTATAATGTGAGCAGTGACTATGGCTAGTTAAACGTAAAGGTTCTAATTACTGAGCACAGCAATTGTTTTAGAATGGCAAACATTATGGGGTTACATGAATGATGCTCACCAGTGGAGGTTAGAGCACCCTGATAAATCTGGTTTTCTGACAGTGGTGATAT